CCTCGTTGGGAGACAACCGTTCGAAGACCCTGAAGCGTGCCAACACACCATTCTCGGGACTTCACCGCCACGAATCAACATGCCTGTTGCGTCTTGACGTTCCTGAATCGTGCCAGAGGACAATTTCTGGGACTTCAACACCGAGAATCAACGTAAGTGTTGCGCCCTCACATTCTTGAGTCCTTCCAGAACACCATTTCTGGCGTTGATCACTGGCATCCGTGAAACTCTTGCACATGTTTATGACGAGTGTGCGCGGCATTAAGGCGAGAGCCACATTTCGAAAGCGACCCGCCCTCAATCCGTGCGCGGCGCTAAGACGAGAGCTACATTTTGACAACGAGCTGCCCTCAATCCGTGAAGCCCTTGCAATTTTTGAAACGAATGTGCGCGACGCTAACGCGAGAGCCACATTTTGAAAACGAGCTGCTCTCAATCCGTGAGGCTCTTGCACGTTTTTAGAACGACTGTGCGCGGCGCCAAGGCGAGAGGCACATTTTGGGAACGACCCGCCCTCAATCCATGAAGCTCTTGCAAATTTGTAGGCTCCAGGGTCGGAAACGGTGAGGTCCTCTCAGGCGAAGCGCCTAGCCCGCCCCTTCGACCTGCCTCGGGGTGCAGCAGGGCGGAGTTGTTCACAAGGGAAAGGAATGGAGAAGGAGAAGAGGGAGGAGGAGGAGGAGCTTGGCATGGGGCTGCCCAGCCGCCCCCCGCAAGCTGCCGGGCAGGGGAGCATGGCGTGGTCTCCTTGGGCTGTGCTCGTGCATGCGCCCACTGCCCACCGCGTGCCTCGTCCTCCCCGCTGTACTCCCCACGCTCCTCCTGATCCTCGTCGTGCCTCGTCCTGCCTCGTCCTGCCTCGTCCTCCTCCTCGACCTCCGCCTCCTCTCGAGTCCACTCTGCCAGCACAGCACTGCCGGCATGGCCCCCAGCTGCTTCTCGAGTGCTCGGCGCTGCGGCGCCACCGCTCCGTGCTTCCAGGGACCGCGCCCCGGTGCGTGCGCGAGCGTCCGTCCGGCCGTCCCGGCGCTGCTCCTGGCCTGCCCCCAGGACGGCCAGCTGCGGCCGCGGCAGCCCTCCCGCCCGGCCCCGACAGCCGCTCAGAGCCGGCTCCCGGACCCCTCGCTGCTGCTTCCCTCGCCCTGTCCCTGTGCCTCCTGCGTTGCCCTTGCCCTTTCCTCAGGAGGGGAAAAAACACACAGACACAATTAATCGTCGATTCCCCAGAAAATATGGGAAAATACGGGAATTTTGCGGGAAGACAAAAACCCAGAAAATATGGGAAAATATGGGGTATCTTTTTATTTGTGTGTATTTATTTGTGTGTCCCAGGGCCCCTGCCCTCTCTGCCCTGTCGCGTCCCGTCTGTCTGCTGCCTGCCCCCCCCCCCTCTCTCTTCCCTGCTCCCCTGGCCCTGTGCCAGGACGTGCGCTCGCCCAGCGTGTGCCCGCCCCGCCCAGCTTCACCGATGGCACGCAGCATGTGGCGGCCCTCCTGGCACCGCCTGTGCCGTCCCGCGGGGCTTCGGTGGACAAGCACAGGTTGGCGCTGGCACGCGTTCGGAGGTACGTCGTCGGACGGGGCCAGGACGAGGACGAATCAGTTCCAGAGCGTTCCGGAACGCTCTGAGAAGGCCGTGGCGCCGTCCTCCAAGAATCGCCGGATCTCGGAGGTTCTCGATTTGTCCCCGCCCGAGTTTGTCCTAGTCCTGGCTTCGTCTGAGATCGGCTAACACTCGTTCTGAGAATCATCGACTGTCTTTGGGTCCATCCTGACACGAGGAGGAGGAGGAGGAGGAGGAGGAGGTCCCGAGGAGGAGGAGGAGGAGGAGGAGGAGGAGGAGGAGGAGGAGGAGGAGGAGGTCCCGCCGTGGCGACGTGAGGCCTTCGGGAAGCCCCGAGGAGACGAGCAGCACCAGGGCGGGCTGCCGTGGTGCCTCGCCTTGTCCTCCTCTGGCGCTCCTCCTTCGGGAGGGAAAGAAACACACAGACAGAATGAATCGTCGACTCCCAGGAAAATATGGGAAAATGTGGGAATTGGGGGGATGACAGAAAACCAGAACATATAGGAAAATATGGGGAATCCTGTTATTTGGGTGTATTTATTTGTGTGTCCCAGGGCCCCTTCATTCCTGCTCTGCCCACGCGCAGGAGGAGCCGATGCCAAGCACCTGCGTCGACTACAACATCGTCTCCAATCTGCCCTTCGAGGTGCACCACTGGGCGAGGCCCCGGGGGGCGCCCCCGCCGGGCAGGAGGTGCTGTCGGGGGTTCGAGGACGGGGCCCTGAGGGATTGGGCCCTGCGGGCAGGAGGGAAAGCGCGTTAGTCGGTGAAGTAATCGTCTGACTCGTCTGACGAGGGGCAGCGCTGGGGGCGGCGCCAGGGGGCCCCAGGATTCAACACACGAGCGGCTGCCTCTTGCGAGCCGCCCGGGGAGTCTCGGGGCCACCTTGGACGGCCCCCGGCCCGCCGACCTCGCTTGAACTCGCACCGCTCAGGGCCCCCCCCTCTCCTTTTGCGCCCCACGTCTCGGGGACCCATCTCTTGTGTTAAGTCGGGCCTGTCCCTCTACAGGGGCATTTCCGACGAAAAATGACAAATACCCCCAAAATGGTCAAAAGTACCCCCAAAATAGTCTGGTGACTATTTTTTGAGTATTTCTTGACCCTTCTTTGGGTACTTTTTTTGGGGGTATCTTAATTCTTCCATCGAGAATCCCCCTGTAGGGGGGACACGCCCGACATACCTCTTGTGGTGCCGACGCTGGGGGGCGAAGTCGGGGCAGGGCGGGCACCGGGGGCAGGCCGGCCGCCTCCGCGCCACGTCCGGCGCCGCCCGGAGAGGAGAGCGCGGCATGGGCACGCCGCAGGTTCGCGCCGTGTCGACCGGCGGCAGCCCCAGCGCGTGCGCTTCGGGTTGCACGCCGCCCCTGGCCCAGAGTCGGCCCGTCGTTGAACGATCCGGCGTCAATGGAACGGCCGATTTGTTCAAGCTTGAACGACACTCCAGATTTCGTAATAAAGGGAGGGGGGTCTAATTTCGGGGGGGGGTCTCTTCCAGGCTATCTTGGAGGGCCTGGGGGGGTCTGGGGACGATGTTTTGGAGGGTTCTCCCACGGGGGGGGGTCTGAAATGGCTTGTCTTGGAGGGTCCAGACCCCCTCCCTTTTATTACGAAATCTGGAGTACCTGCGGTGTCAGGAACCAACGCCCAGGTCGACACGACGCGAACTTGTCGTACGTGAACGCTTTGAGCTCCGCGCGGGTGTCTTGGAGCTGCGCTGGACCCTCCCCTGGGAGGCGCCATGTGAAGCTTTCGGAGGCTCGCGCGGGCTTGATCGGCGCTGGGCCCCCCCCCCTGGAGGCACCTCCGGGCGCCACCCTTGGCGCGCTCCGTGGGCGTTGCGCAGTGGGGGGCGATGCGTGGGGGGGGGGCAGCGAGGGCTGCAGAAAAGAGGCCCTCTCGGCCCCCCAAAGGGGCCCTGTAGAGCCCCAAAGGGGGTCCTTTAGGGCCCGAAAGGTGCACCTCTCTTCCCCCCACCATTTATCGCCCCCTCATTGAGCGACGCCCAGGCTGCGCGCGCCAGGCAGGGGGTCCAGCGCAGATCCAAAACATCCGCGCGGACCTTCTGTACTTTATGATTGTACTGTTTTCTTATCTTCTGATCCTACCCCTCCTGCCCATCCCTTCCCATTGTGTTGAATCTTGTTCTGCCCGTAGGCCTGGATGTCTAAGAATATTTTTCCCAACCATCCTGTGGTGTTGGGTCCTCGTTTTGAAGAGACGGTCCCCGCGTTCCCTAGCCCTCTTGGGCCATTTTGGAGCCATCTTGAGGCCTCGGACGGCCATCGGAAGCGAAAAAGCGAGAAAGCTAAAAACATAGATTCTCGCAAGGTTCTGGAAGGATTTTGGCCTCTTCGGGGCCTCCTGGGGGAGCCTTTGGCCACTCGGAGCCGACTTGGAGCGGTCTTGGGGCCTCTTGGAGCAGCGTGGGAACCATCTTGCGGCATCTTGGCGTCTCTTGAGCCATCTTAGAGGTCATCTTGGACTCTCCCAGGCGCTCTTGGAGTCATCATAATCAGTGTCCCCCCTCCCCCCCCCGGAGGCCAAAATGTGGTTAACATCAATGATTTTGGCATTCTCGCCGAGGCCTCTTGGAGCATCTTGGGTGCCTCTGGAGTGCCTCTTGGGGCCTCTTGGGGGTCTCTTGGGAGCCTCTTGGGGGCCATCCTGGGGGCCTCTTGGGGGCCTCTTGGGGCCTCCTGGCCACCTCTTGGGGCCCTCTTGGGGCCCTCTTGGGGCACCCTTGGGAGCCCTGGGAGCGCTCGTGGGGCCATCGAGACCGATGAAAGAAGGTGGGTTCCCTTAATTAGCGTCCCCTCCCCCCCCCAAGAGGCCACAATGAGGCCAAAACCTTTAAAACCAATGATTTTGGCTTCCTCGCCGAGGCCGTTTTGGACGCCCTGACCGCTCGTGGGGCGCCCCGTCCAGGTCCAGGGGAGGGGGTAGGGGGAGGGGCGAGACTCCTACAAGGAGCAAGCCGTGTAGCTCACTCCCACCCGCCCTCCCAACACATACGTAACACCGGGCCAAAAGACCAAAGGTTTGAACTCCCGACGAGGCTCTGTCAAATACCAGTGCAAAGGTCCCGACGGGACAATCGTAGTCGAGCCAGCTACGGCTCGAGTGCATCAGGGGATGCGGGCGCGCCCGCGGACGGCGGCCGCACGTGGACGGCGGCTGGGACGAGCAGCCGGGCGGGGCGCCGACTGGCGGGGCGGGCGGGCCTCGGAGCCCGCGGCGCTTCCCGGGTGCCACGCGGCGACGACGACGACGGCAGCGACGGCGACGGCGTTGTCGCCGTGTGTTCCCTCGGGGTCCTCTCCGGGCCACGTTGCGGTGGTGTTGGGGGATATTCGGGTCCTCTTGGGCCTCTTTTGGGGGGTCCTCGGTTTTGAGGCATTCTTGCGGACCTCCTGGATGCCCAGGAGAGCCTCTTGGGACCATCCTGGACGGCCGCCCGCCGCCAGAAGGCAGGTGGGATCTGCCGGCGCCCTGGCCGTCCTTGTAAGATGTCAATACGAAATGATCGCGGGGCGGCCGCGCGTGCTCTGAGTGTGGAGGCGTCGTGTGTTTTGTCGTGTTCTTTGACTGGGATGGTGGTGTGGGGGGGTGGCATTGTTCCGGGTTGGCCGCCGGCCAGTCCCTCCCCGAAGGGGAAGACAGGGGGTTGGAAGAGGAACCGCCCTCAATCACCTACGCCCAGAGGGCTGGTGGGATTGTTCTGGGGAAGTGGGGGGTCGGGGAGGGCCTCGAATGGACCATCGCGCGAAGATCACCGCGCATCGCGCATCATGGGGCGTGATGTGCGAAACCAAGCGGGTAATGTTTCTCCTCGGAGCGAACTTGCCCCGCCAGCGTTGGCGGGAGGGGTTGACCAGGAGGGCTGGCCAGGAGGGTTGGTTTGGGGGGCTGGTTGGAGCTGGACAAGGGGGCCGGCCAGGGTAAGCCTTCGACGGGCGGTTGTCTCCAGAAGGCATACGGCAGTGGTGGGCACCTTCCGCCGTTACGCCCTCGTCCCTCTCCTCCCCTGTACGAGTAAGTCGGGCCTGTCCCTCTACAGGGGGGGAATCCAAAAATAGTTTTATAAATAGTCAGGGGGCGTTTTTTTTGATTATTTGTTGGCCATGTTGGGGTATTTTTGTTGTTGTATTCATCATTCATCTTTCGCCTAACATCCCCCTGTAGGGGGACAGGCCCGACCTAACCGTACGAATCTCCTTTTCCCGATTGCGCATAGTACGATGGGCTCCTCAGTGGAGTTCCAGGTCCGCTGTGACACGCGTTGCCTGGCAGAGAGGGATCGGCGCAATGAGAAGGGACTGGGTGGGAGGGGCAGGGCGTGACGACGAATCGCAGGGGCCTTTGCGCCTTCTTCTATCACTGATTGCCGCCAGCGTCGTCCTGGTCCTGGTCCTCGTCCTCGTCCTCGTCCTCGTCCTCGTCGTGGTCGTGGCAGTGGTTTTAACCGTCGTTGTGGTCTCGGTATCGGTCGCGGTTGTGGTGATGGGCGCCGTCATCGTGATGCCGATCCTTCTTCCGCGCCCCCTCCCATCGCTCTCCCCTGTCCTCGGCTCTCTGGTCCCGGCGGTGGGCCTCATCTCGTCCCGCGCCTTCTCCTTTTCCTCCGCCTCCTCCTTCCTCCTTTCCGTAGCTTCTCTCCTGTCTCTCCTCCTCCTCCCCCACCTCCCCCCCATTATTGCGTTGCGTAGGCTGTGATCGGGTGATCGCAATCCCGCCTACTCCCTCTGCTCCTCCTCTTCCTGCTCCCCCCCCACTCTCGTCTCCTTGAATTCCTTGTCCCTCCCTGTCGTCTCCATCCTCCCTCTCCTCCCTCTCCCCCCTCTCCTCCCTGTCCAGCCGCCCGCGGCAAGTCCCGCCACCGTGCAAGCCCAGCATTCTGGGTGGCGACTCTTCGAGGGGTCACGGGATGCCATCACGTGTGACACCTCGCGTCCCAAGCCTTGGGGAAGCCGTGATGATGCTGCTGCTGATGATGGTGATGCTGATGCTGATGCTGATGCTGATGCTGCTGATGATGAGGATGAGGATAATCATGACGAGGATGACGACGACAACGACGACGATGATGCTGATGATGATGACGATGACGCTGATTCTGATGATGTCGAGGATAAGGTTGACGACGACGATGACGATGACGATGACGTTGATGATGATGATGATGATGATGATGATGATGATGATGATGATGATGATGATGATGATGATGATGATGATGATGATGATGATGATGATGATGATGATGATGATGATGATGATGATGATGATGATGATGCTGATGATGATGATGATGATGATGATGATGGTGGTGATGATGATGATGATGTGGATGATGACGATGGTGATACTAATGATGCTGATAATGCTGATGATGATGATGCTGGTGCTGATGAGTTTTATGACGATGCTGTTGATGTCGATGATCGGATGAAGGTGATGACGGGGATGCAGATGTTGAGTTGATGATGCTGATGATGATGTTGATGATGATGCTGGTGATACACATGATGATGCTGATGATGACGGTGATGATGATGATGATGATGATGATGATGATGATGATGATGATGACGACGATAACGATGACGATGATTCGGATGATGATGGTGGTGGTGATGATGATGATGATGATGACGATGACGATGACGATGACGATGATGATGATGATGATGATGATGATGATGATGATGATGATGATGATGATGATGATGATGATGATGACGATAACGATGACGATGATTCTGATGATGATGGTGGTGGTGATGATGATGGTGATGGTGATGGTAATGGTGGTGGTTGTGGTGATGGTGGTGGTGGTGGTGGTTCCCCCCCCTCCCGCCGCGGCCGCAGAGGCCTGAAGAGAGGCCCCGCCTGAAGGAGCGGAATCCGCGGCCCCGCAAGGCGCGGGCGGCCCTC